TGCTCATACTGTAAAATACCATTTTGCTGAAAAGAATTTTTGGACAGTTTGCATGGAGTTTATTTTAAATATAAATTATAGAGGAAAATGTATATTCACTGGATTTTATTTTCACTGAATCATCCCTTTAGCAAAAACAGCAAAAATAAATTCCAAGCAAAAATAAAGTATTTTATAGTAATCAAAAACAGTTAGTAGATAAAACTATGAATTTATGGACTTTGTTTTAAAAAGAAGTCAAATTTTGAGCAAAAGTATTGCATTAAATAATAAAATTGTGAAATAATGAAATAATAACAGTTTAAGGCAAAGTCATCACGAACAATACTAGGCAACATTCCTAGGAATATTACAATGTTGCAAGGAAGATGAATACAGCTCAGTTTAATAAAGTATAAGATTGATAACCAATAGAGGGCGCAGTTTTGAAGACAAATTCAAAACATACACCACTGACAATGTTCCTAGGAATAAGTTTTTTCTGATTGTTTTATTTTGGCACCCACTGTAAATATAATATCTAATAAACCTTATAAATTGTACAATCAAACTTTTATCACACGATGCATGGATGCCCACCGGTATCAAATAATTGTTTTTGATATTAGAAATTACAAGAAGCTATCAAGTAAATGTAAATGTTTAGAGTCAGTCACAAAACCAGTAGATGGTATTATTTCAACACTTCAGCATATCCTATATTCTCTAATCGTAGCACATGTAAAATCGGTGTCAAATTAAGACAATATTTTAACGATTCAGCATACAATGAATGCAATAGACCTTTTTCTGTTCACTGGCAGATCCTGTGTGATACGTGAAATACAATGTAAATAATAGGAGAAACAAAAGTCACAGCATTGTAGTGGCGCCAACATGTTGCTAGGGATTTAGCAAATGTGAAAGTATATTTTGGGGTTATTTCCACGCCCAATAATATGCCATACACATTTGATGAAGATCAATTTTGATAAAGGATATCTCCTAGAAACTCGGCATTTCAACAGTGAACTATAACAAGCAACAACTTGGCTGGGATGGCTCCCCTGTTAGCAATGCACATTTCAATTTGATGCACATTTCAAGAAGATATCATCACAAAATGAACAAATATGAGATCGGTCTACTTGAGGTACCTATATATTTAGGTTATATCAAAGCAATCATACATGTTGTTTTTAACAAAAAGTTGAAAATATCATTTTTTACCAAAAATGACAAAAATATTCATCAAAATTAGAGAATTGAAAATATCATCAAGAAGTGAACAAATCTGAGAGAGCTCTACCTGGGGTACCTATATGTATGATATCAAAGCAATCGGACTTGTAGTTTTCAAGAAAAAGTCGAAAAAGTAAAATGTTGACACGGATTATGACAACAACGAACGAGGACGGACAATCACTCACATGATAAGCTCTCTGCTCAACAAAGTCGACAGTTCAAAACAAAATCATTTTTGCAGCAGACGTTCATTCCACGTTTTTCACACATTATGCAATACCTTGCACTGAACGGATAATCATGTATTTTTGTTTTTTTGAAGCTTCAATTAGAGAAGTAATTCTAATAGTGCAGATACAATATATATCCCAGGAATGAACATTCTGGCATTTTCACTGCCTGGCAACCTTCACAGTGAAAACGAAGGCCATGAAGTCCCAGAAAACAGTACTTTGGGATGGTTGTTGAGACTCCTCTGAACAGTGTAACATATGTAGGTAGATTACTTCAATGTTGAGTTTGTGCCGTTTTCTCGACTTTAGTTGTTTTCACCGGCGTTCCACAGCAGTTTGCGCAGAGCCCATAGAAATACATGGTACAGTGATGTGCATCTTAATTAATGGATAATTGATGGATTGCTTTATGTCCCATAGCTAGTGACTGTATTATTCACTGTACTATTATTCAGTAGTGGAGTCGTTAGTTCATCTTTACTTTCTTCATCTTCATCTTCCACTTTTGTGAATTTACTCCCAGGAACATAAAACACACTAATTATGAATAAAAGGATGAATGATATTTATTACAGTGAAAACCACCAAGATGTTGTCATTAAGACTGCTCTGGGTGCTGTAAGATTAGCTGATTACCTACTCTGTTTAAAAATATTAGCAATGTTCACACGGCAGCATTCTATCGGAGCCGAACTACTTCTCCTCCCACGGATTAACAGGAGATTATCTCCAATGCGTTCATACGGTCAGGAGCCGAACGAGAGCCGAGATCTGCCAGAGTTCGATTCAGTTCGATCAGAGCCGAACGGAACAGTGCTCTTGAATAATTAGTGACTAAAAACGATTTTAGTGTCGTGCTTGTGTTTTTTCTTTACATGGCATGATGCTGTTGTGCTAGGAGAAAAAGGAGCCTGAGCATGGAGGTAGAAAAGACAATGACGGGTATTATGATTTAGGTACTAGTATCTCGAATAAACAGGAAATACGGCAGCTAAAATGCGTTTAATACAGCCTTTTCGCTCAAGTCATTGTCATGCAAAATTACCATTTTGTAACTATTCCACAACTGTAGTGATATCTAAACTACTAGGAAGAATCACAGATTCTCTCTATCTATCATAGAGAAACTATGGAAGAATCTAAACCTACCAGGAACACGTCACCGTACCGCGATCGCTTCTACGATTTTTATCTTTAGTGTCTTTAAAAAATTTCCGTTCAGTCGTGCTTTCAAGTTTTTGTCGCATAATTTCGTATGCCATTTTCTGTTTCCCGTTGAGCTAGCAATCTATCGCAATAATTCGTTACTATATATTAGGATGGTACCTCTTATTCAAGCCGGAAATTGCGTGAAATTATGAAAGATGTTGTCTCCGCCATAATTGAAATGAGAGGTTACTCAAAGAAGACGATTGAGAGCGTGATTTCGGCTCCGATGGTTGGGCCCGATGCGTTTACACGATTGGAGTCATGTCGGGACTCAACCCTATCAGAGTTCAACCCCGAGGGTTTAGTGGAGCTGGTCATTTTTGCTGGCTCGAGCCGATGGGCTCCGATAAAATGCTGTTGTGTGAACGTAGCAATTGTTGATTACCAACAGAGTAGACATATTAAATTAATGTCTGTCTGTAATCAACAATATGTGGCAGTTACTGTTGAACATCAAATGAATTGAATTGCTGAAATCCTGAATTAAAATAGATATCAAAGAACTGTGTTAATTAAAATATGTGTTTAATTGCACAAGAATGTTGCTAACTTCACTTTTATTCTTTAGTGAGTTTGAAAATTATTTTCATTGCCAATATTCACAAGGATTATGTGCTTTATTACAAATTATGTTATACCAGTATATCAACATGTTGAAACCGTCACTCTGATTGGCCATTACTTGGCTTACAATGGCCCAGGAATCTGCATACTGTAAAATAATTTCGCTTATTTTTCTCTATTTTCACTGAATGAATGATTTAGTAAAAAAATGAAATCCAGCGAATATACTGTTTTTCTCAAAACTTAGTGAAAATAAATTCACAACCAAAAAAAAATTTCTGTAAAATTCAAGCTAAAATAAAATATTTTACTTTTGTCACTTTTTACAAAATAAACCACACATCACTTTTTTCTTAATATTTGATCAAGATGTGTAGTAGGTAATTATGTCTATTTTGGTACAAAATTATGTAAAAATATGCAAATTTAACACCAAATTATGGCATTCACTTGAAAGTTCTACTTACGTGCCGAATAGTTCTCCCTCTTCAAGTGTTTCTGGTAGTTTTTGTTTGCTTGTTTCTGGCAGTAATAAAGAAAACATTCCTCCTACAATCGATATAATGCCCATTATAATGAACGGTAAAGGACGCCAGTGGGTAATTAACAACATAATAAATGGTGAAGCGATTGTACCAATACGTGCCATTGTGGAAGATATACCAATACCAGCATTCCTAAAAAAAAAAAAAAAAGAGATTAATTATAATCAATAAGTTGTCGGCCTCACCATGAAACAAGGGGCGTAACTCCTATTCTATTTAGGTATTCATTAATTAGCATGTGGTTCCTATTTAAAATCAGCAGGTGAGATGAAAATCACAAAATGGACCAGACAGAAGCTTGTGCTGTGATCAAGTATCTCTATAAAAAGGGGATGACTCCCAAAGAAATTCTTAAAGACATGGTCACACCACTTGGTGAGGACTCCTCTTCTAATTCCACTGTGAAGAAGTGGGTTGCTAACTTTAAGCGAGGCAAAGAGAAGATGACCCAAGGTCTGGATGCCCAAAATCTGCCACCACGGACAATCAGGTTAAGGCCATCCATCGCATGGTAATGAATGACAGACATGTCACTATCTGACATATGAGGTATTCACTTGGCATCAGTTATGGCGCAGTTCAAAATGTTTTGACGAACATCTCGGGGATGAGCAAGCTGTCTGCATGGTTGGTGTCCAGAATGTAGACTCCACATAAGAAGTTGAACAGGTTGAAAGTTTCAAGGACGCTTTTGGCCCGTTTCCAGTCAAATCCTGGTAACTTCTTTGAGATTTGTGACCGAAGATGAGACATGGGTTCACCACTTTGCTCCTGAATCAAAAGTGCAGAGCAAACAATGGACACACACGGGTTCACAGCCGCCCAAGAAGTTCAAGCGAATGGCATCAGTCAACAAGGTGATGGCCTCTGTGTTCTGGGACAGCAAAGGAGTCATCATGATTGACTACTTGCAAAAGGGTCAAACAATCAATGGAGAGTACTATGCTTCAGAACTGCGACAGTTAAGAGCAGCAATCAAAGAGAAAAGGAGAGGAAAGCTTTGAGCTTTACATTGTCCTGGAGCAGCAGCACATCTGTCCACACAGCACAGGTGGCGGTGGCAGTGGCAGCAGCAACCGAATGTGGCTTTGAACTCTTAACTCACCCTTCCTACTAACTTGACCTGGCACCGTTGGACTTCTACCTGTTTCCTAAACTGAAGTCCCACTTGCGTGGTCACCGTTTTGAGACTGATGATGACGTCATCCATGCTGTTGAGGCCTATCTAAACGATCAAGATGAAACCTTCTTCCAGCAGGGAATAGGAAAACTGGAACATTGATGGACAAAGTGCATTGAACTTGGACTATATTAAAAAATAGTGTAAGAAAAATCTTCCTTCTGCAACGTTTTATGAGGAAGGCCGAGAACTTATTGATCACCCCTTGTATCTACAATTGCATGTCAATTAAATAGTTCTAAACATATGTGAAACCACTTGTGAAATTTACAATCATTTTCACTAAACATTGGACAATCAGATTGTGGTAAATGTTGATACATCAGAGCAAGTACCTAATGTAATTGCCACTGATTTTATCACCACTAATCAAAACATTATAACTGCAGCATAAACATTTT